CACAGTACAGTACAGTACAGCATAGCACAGTACAGTACAGTACAATACAGCAAAGTACAGTACAGTACAATACAGCAAAGTAGAGTAGAGTAGAGTAGAGTAGAGTACAGCACAGCACAACACAGTACAGTACAGCACATCACAGTACAGCACAGTACAGTACAGTACAATACAGCAATCTACAGTACAGTACAGTACAGTACAGTACAGTACAGTACAGCATAGTACAGTACAGTACAGTACAGCATAGTACAGTACAGTACAGTACAGCACAGTACAGTACAGCACAGCACAGCACAGTACAACACAGTACAGTACAGTACAAATACAATGCAGTACAGCACAGTACACAACACTGCACACAGGTTCCACAAATTCTCACAACGTTGATCGGCTTACATTCCACTGCAGATCATCAACCAGCGTATTGTACATTGGGGCGAACGACGGCCACATTCCGGGGCCCAGGGCTAGCAACACGGCCGGAAAGTTATACGCACAGTGGAAGACCATATCACCGTCCAGAGTGGTCGCCGCCTTCTTGTTCTGCACAGACGCCATGCTCTTGTACAGGTTGATGATGCGCTCGGGTACATGTATCTGGGCCTGCGGTTGGAATGCATTGTCGCTGGTGGTAGTACAGGCGAATGCATGGGGTGGGATGGGGTTAAAGTGATGTAGAGAGGAATAGTGGCTTGTCGTGGGCCGTGGTTGGGACGCATTGTCACTGCAAATATTGAAATAAACGTTAATGTATGCAATGGGATGGGATTGGTATACTTCCAGAGAAGCATATAATGTGGCGTGGTAAAGTGCAGCCTGAGATGGTCGATGATTCTATTTGGCCTGCGGATCTGGGCTTGTGAAAGTGATCATTCTTAGGGTGTCACATAAGTCGGGGATACAGTATATACAACATATATATAGCATGACTCGGAATAGCACGTAATGGGATGAGGTACGGCCACTTGAACACAGAGCTGTAATAGTATTCGTCACCTAGGGCTTAATCCGAGATTGAGACCTTCTCCTGCAGATTGTAAGTGAACCTTATGCACTGACTTCGAGTGGTTTCAGAGTAGGATGTAACGTGATATAGTGCCGACAAACCCCTATTCAAGTAATGTGTTTCGATTCGGAGTCCGCCCTTGATCTTAGAAATAGGACTACGATCTGGATGGATGCATCGACACATCATCGATTTCAATGATACCATACCCAATGTCGCAGTTCACGTGTATAACTGCACAAACAGGGCTCCTTCCTACAGAAACTTACCTGCTCTCATCCTCCTCCTCAGTCGCGTTCGCTTCGCTTATATCCGATACTTCAATGGTAACACCCCCTTCATCCGTGGTTTCTCCAGCACTAGCGTCACTCTCGCCCCCACTACCATCGCTACCGTGCGCCGTGACCGTAATCTCTGGTGGTCGGACCTTCGGCGAGGTTGGCGGTGAACCAGAAAAGCCCAGTTTATCTTTATCCGCCAATGAAGGGGTTTCTGTGCTTTCTGAGACGGATATGTCCTCCATTTTCCTCTCGAGAGCGGCCACATCTAGTGTGGCTTGTTCCTTTAAGGCAGGGCCGGGAGAGAAATAGGGCAACACATCAGGTCAGCACACCGTCAGTACAATACAGGCATAAAGTTCAATATAACTTTGCGAGCTTCACGACCATATACTAGTCTATTGCATGCCAGACCCCAAAACCAAAAGAGTGGTCACAGCTCCATCAATGCCTACTTTCACACACCTCTATGCTTTCCAGTGATGCAGTCTTGTCCGCAGTGGATTCAGTATCAGCTATTTCCTCCGTACTGGCAGAGGCTGCCAACGATTTATTGGTGGATGTGAATGTGTATATGAATGGACCCAATACCCGCCAAGCTTCCGCGCGCACCCATCGACTGGAATCCTGAGAAGTATCCAATAATTCGGTTTAGGGTTAGGGCTTGAGCTTTAGCTATAGCGATAGGGGTTGCCAGAGAGACAAGGTCTCCCGTAAGAGTGTGACAATGCCAGCCGTCATTTCGCGATAGACGCGCTAGCGCACACTAATCGACACTACACATATACGAGAAAAACAGCATTGGTAGCACGCACTGGGGGGTACGATACAAAAATGATGGTTTACAGGATTTAACAATAAGGGCTAGATTGAGCATAAGAGATGGTGATTATTCCGAGCTATAAACACCTGGGACAGTGCGGCTTATCCTAACCACCATTGTATTTCATATTCGCCACATGCTTCATGCATAATACTTGCCCACCAGCAGCGGCGGTCGTGGCACAGACACACAGTCACAAAACAGAACAGAGGCAAACGCAGGACGGCATAAACAATTAAAGATAGAACGAAACAAACACAATTCCAAATACCTCTGCCAGCCGTTGAATCGCATCACACAGTTGGTTCTCGCGTATCTCTGGGGTCACATTGCGTGCTACATCCAGAAAGCTATCCACACAGCTCTTCCGCACACCCCAGGGTTCTTGCTCACTAAGTTCGTCAAACACTTGCAGTAGCACGGTGCACGTTGTTTCTTGACTGACGATCCGTGCCACGGCGCCGATTCCTTCTGCACAGCTCTGTAAAGGAGAAGTTGATACATGATCGTTAAGAATATATGGAATATATGGTGTCTATATACACACACACACATATATATATATCAACATAGACATAGCCATAGCCATAGCCATAGACATAGACGTATATATATACGTATACATACACACACAAACACGCAAACACACACACACACACACACACACACAGACAGACAGACAGGCAGCCAGACAACACACTGACACAGACAGACAGACAGACAACACACACACATACATACATACATATATATATACATTTATATTTATATATATATATAATATATACATATACATACATACATATACATACATACATACATACATACATATATACATACAAATATATATATATATATATATATATATATATATATATATATATATATATATATATGTATATATATATACATACATACATAGTG